GCTACAGAATAAGGAACCCCACTTCCCCCTGCCTCCCCGCTACAGAAAAACAAGCTCCAGAAGAACCAAGGTACTAAGCAGAAGCGTAGTCACACAGGAGAAGCCACACTGATGGGGTTCACCCGAGGACTCCTGAAGGCCCTGCGAGCCTCACCCACTCCAGGTGAGGGGATGGAAGGGTGCACTTGCACTCCGAGATGAGCGCCCAACTGAAAGGACACTGGATGTGATGGAGAAAAAGGAAAGGCCACTGGGCAGTCCCCCAGTTTCCTAAGGGTCACAAACAGCAGGAGAGGTGGGGAGCCAGGTTCAGTGTGAAAGGGCACTGAGGGTGAAACGCACTCACTAAAGACAGCCGCACACTTCGGAACTGGCGTAAAGTGTCATCCCGCACATCACTCACAGGACTGGCCCAGAAAGGGGGAGCACAGAGCTCTGGGATGCAGCAGGGGCTGGAGAGTGCCTTTCTCAACTTTTCTCTCAAAGGGTTTTGACAGAAACGAAACAGGTTCTGTTTGTCACTACATGAGCCCTGCACTCGCCAGCTGGTGGGAAGAAGCCAAAAACCAACACAGGAAACTGGGCCAGGCACAGTGGCCATGCCTCTAATTCCAGTGACTTGGGAGGCTGAGGCAAGAGGATCGCAGGTTCAAACCAACCTCAGCAACTCAGGCCCTGAACTGCCTAAAAAAATAAAAAAGGGATGGGATGTGGCTCAGTGGTTAAAAGGCCTCTGGACTCAATTCCTGGTACCAAAAAAAAAAAAAAAAAAACCAAGAAGCAAGTAACTGGTACAGGGCCAGCATGGGGACCTGGGCTTTCTACGCCAGTGTGGGGAGAAAACAATCCCACAGGAAAAGGGGCCAGCCAAGCTGAGACCCTGCAGCCAGACCCTGCTAGAGGAGCTCCACCTCAGGCCAGGGAGCGGCAGCGAGGCTCCACCACACCCTCCTGCCAGGCTGCGGCCTCCAGGGAGCCCCAGGGACCTCAGGCACAGGGACAAGAGGGCTCAGAGCAGCATGGTGTACCGAAAGCAACCCAGTACATCTCTGTTTTTCACAGTGGCAGAGATGGTAGAAGAGAGAACCGCCACTGTGCGACACACCTGGCCACAAGAGGAGGCAGCAGCAGGTCACCCAGGCACCTCAACAAGCTCACCACAGAAAGCAGGAAGAGCTGCTGGACTGCTGGAGACATGCCTGGCAAGACTCTGCAGCACAGGACAGTGAGGCATGGCATCCAGCGGCTCAGGGGGACTGCAATGGCTAGGCCTCCAATCCAGGGGTCCAGCATCCGTGATCAACCAGATGAGGGTCAAAAATACTTGAGGAAAAAGAACTGTGTATTAAAATGCCCAGACTTTCTTCCTCGTCTTTATTCCCTAAACACAACCATTTACGTAGCTTGGCATCTCACAAGGGCCTGCATGTAAGCCAGAGACCAAACTGCGTGGGAAAACATCCGCAGGTCACGTGCCATTGTGTGTAAGGAATGTGAGCACCTGTGGACTTTGCAGTCTGTGAGGGTCCTAGGACTAATCCCCAGGGAGGCCTGCACTGTTTTTAAGCTGAAGGGCAGATATGTGGCTATCAGACTTATTTTTGTTTGGCACTGGGGATTGAAGCCGGGCACTTAACTACTGAGCTACATTCCCAGTGCTTTTTATTTTTTGAGACTGGGTCTTGCTAAGTTGCTGAGGCTGGCCTTAAACTTGCAATCCTCCTATCTCAGCCTCCTGAGTCCCTAGGATTACAGGTGTATGACACTGTGCCCAGTTGGATTTATTATTCTTTAAAATTATAAACACACTGCTGGGTATGGTGGCGCATACCTAAAATCCCAGCAGCTCAGGAGGCTGAGGCAGGAAGATCCCAAGTTCAAAGTCAGCCTCAGCAAAAGCAAGGCACTAAACAACTCAGTTAGACCTTGTCTCTAAATAAAATGCAAAATAAGGCTGGGGATGTGGCTCAGTAGTGAGTGCCCCTGAGTTCAATCCCCGGTACCACCACCCCCCCAAAAAAATTATAAACACATACACTTTCGCACATATCTACATATCACAATAGAAACAAATTAACAAAGTTGTCCCTTGTAAATAAAAAGCAAAAGTCAAAACCACACTTTCTCCTCATGTCTGTCCCTACTGAAGCCACTGCCCACCCAGGCTCACCCTTGCAGGAGCCGGTCCCATCCCCAAGAGCCTGACTCCCAGCTCTCCAGTGACTAGGCAGCAGTGCCTGCAGGATGCAGGACTGGGCAGCAGGCGCAGAGGCGCCGAGTGTGGGAGACACACGTACCGAGCAACGTTTTGGGGTTGGTAAGCCCCAGCTGCACCACCGGGTTGTCCAGAATAGCCTGAAAGAGAGGGCTGTTGGGGTCGATGCCCTGGTCCAGCTCCTCAGGGGATGGCTTGCGGTCTCCCAGCAGCCACTCGCACTGCAAACCCAAAACAGCAAAGTAGCCGTTAGCTCCTCGAATACCTTCAACATGGAGTGAAGTGGCTGGCGGCCCTGCCCTTCTGTGCGTGCCTGCTGACTCCCACAGCTGTTCTGGCCATAAGGAGCCCTGGAGCCAATGAACCCAGCACACATGCAGGGTCCGCACGCCAGGCAGCTCAGAGAGAGAAGGAAGGACCCAGCCTGGCTTTCTTAGTGGTCTGACCACCCACCCACAGGCCCCCGCCACTGAACCTGGGTGCCAACAGAGCCCCCAACAACCTACTTTGTTCTAGGGAAGGACCAGCCTGACTGCACTTCTCCATAGCCAACAAGCCTGCGAGTGTGGACATACAGACTCCTCACCTCTGTCTTGGCGGTCTTTGCCTCAACTCTGTCCCCAAGTCACCACTGAGCCCACCTGGAGCAGAGCTCCCCTCAGCAGTCCCCGGGGGGAACTCAACGTTAAGAGTCTGTTTAACAGATAAACTAACAAGCTGCACGCTCCTCTGCAGAGCACGCTCACAAGAGCACCGTTCTCAGCAAGCCGAGGCCCAGAATGTTCTCAGTATTTTAAAAACGTGTAACACCTAAACCATCCCGGCTAACCTTTCACGTAAAAAGCTGTGTAACTGACCACGCGTGGGAGCCACAGTGCGCAGCACAGGGCCAATGGGCAAGGGGCACCGCGGCGCAGGCGCAGCACAGGCGCCTGCCGGTACTCACGGCGGCATTCTGCTGGTTGTTGCTCACTCTGAGGGCGTCCACCACCTCCTTCTCATCAAAGCCCATCTCCATCAGGGAAACGACGGCCTGCAGGGAACCACACAGCCGGTCACGCCCCGCCGAGGCCGAGCAGCCCGTGAGGGAGCCAGCCCCTCAGCAGGGCCTCCTAAACACACCAGGACCTTCTGCCCAGTGCTCCTGTGCACAGCTTCACTGGAGAACACGCGGGCTCTGGGCAGCTTCGCCCAAGAGCTGCCAGACGGGATGCAGTGAGCAGGGCCCAGGAGGTGTTGAGGGAAGCCAGCTGGGGTGAGGAGAAGTGGCCAGGCCTCCAGATGACACTCACATGGACCCAAGGCAGGCCAGCCGGCATCAAATGTTTTAGGTTTGTCCCAGTGAGTGTGTGGCTCAGGCCATTCTCAGCAACCTTCAGGGAACTCACGCCAGAGGCTTTGCTATCCCACAGGCAGCCTCAGAGAAAGGTCAAGTTCATAAATCCAACTTAAATGGAGACAGAAGGGTCATAGTATTTTGTTACAAAGGGGGCCTTAGCCAGGTACGGTGGTGCACACCTGTGATTTCAGGTACTCAGGAGGCTGAGTCAGGAGGTTCACAAATTCAAAGCCAGCCTCAGCAACTTGGCAAGAGCCTGTCTCAAAATAAAAAATAAAAAGGGCTGGGGATGTGCCTCTATGGTTGGGCACTCCTGAGTTCAATTCCCACTACCAAAACCAAAAAGGCAGGGAGGGCTCTATTCAGATTATCTTAGGGAAAAAAGAAACTAAAAATTAATCTTACATCTAATACAAACTCAGGCTCTTGAGTGTAAACATTCTTGGTGTGAACAAGGACTTAATCTTCAGTGTTTGGGGAGGGTGATTTTCCACACGATATCCGTGTGACAAGATAATAAACATGTCCTTTATACTCAACTATGAAATGCAGTGTTTGAAGGGTCAATTTTGCAAAAGACAAAAAGGTTGCACTGAGTTTTCAAGGGTCTCTCTTGATTCTCTGAAGGTCAAGTCTCAAGTCTCACAGCCCTGGGCCCCTCTTGCTCAGGTTCTCACAGTGTTAAGCAGCCCCCACAGCATTCCCAATGCCATGACACGCTGCCCCAGGAAGTGCTGTCCACTCACAGCTCAGTTTACACAGAGTTTCAAGGGGACCAACAGAAGAGGACTTCAGAGGAGAGGAGAAGCAGGAAGGATGCTGGCTGGAGCCAGGTGGTGTGTGGTTGGCTCAGAAGCTCCCCCGTTCTGTTCATGGTCTACCCCGTGTGCTTTCCTGGACCCTTCCTGACTCCAAGGTCTAAAAGCAAATGCTGGGAGAAGCACTCACTGAACAGCATTTGGATGTCAAAGTCACAAGACATGGGGCTGAGATGGCTCAGGGGCCAAGCACATGCCACACATCTCCAGCAGATGGCCTGCAGTCTAGAGCTGAATTCAAGCACAGGATGGTCTTTTCTTTTAGTGTCAATAAAATCCACTTTCCCTCTTCACGTCCATCTTAGCCCATGAAATGATGCCCCAGTATTTCCAGATGACACTTGGTAGCTTTCTGCCCTTCAGCCCAGTCCAAAGGGAAGGACTTTCCCGTGGTGGCAGCAGGACAGAGTCCTCATGCTCGCGCCTCTGGGGACCCTGCACCTCCTGCAGTGGTTGTCTCAGCCCCAGCTGGGAGGGAAGCAAGCAGCACAGGCCACTGTGTGTGACCAATACCTGAGCCCTGTCGGACTCCTGGGGCAGGAACCAGAGGGCAGGAGACAGGCTGGCAAGCTGCACTGGAGCTACAGCCTTCACAGTGCCACACAAGAAGGCCTTCTGAGAAGGGTTTCAGCACAAGAGGTGAAGGGCAGGAATGGCAGGAGAAGAGCATCTGAGCAAATGAGCACCCTCAACTACGGAGACCTGCGTCTCAGAAAAGGCTGAGACAAGAAGGAACGTACACTGACCAGCAGCAACCACACAAGGACCAGGCAGGACCCAGACGAGGGGAAGCACACACCCACTGCCCACAGAGGCCAAGGACCAGCCCAAGAGCTGTGTCCCCACAGGGTCCCAGCACAGGAAATGGACCTGACTCCCTGGAGGCCTACAATCAGGAGACAAATGCTCAGCTAATCTGAGGAATGCCTTCAAGAAACAAAAGAGTTAAATGCACAAACTCTCAAGACAGGGAATCCCCAAGAGACAGAGACAGAACGGAAAGCCTAACAGTGAGAGGGCATGTGAGGCAGGGCTACCCTGGGGGGCAGGATGCACCATCAGGCAGAAAGCAGACAGACCTGGGCCCACCGCAGGTGGAGTGGGCACTGAGACCCTGGCTCAGCCAGGAAGGAGAGGCGGACATCCTGGTCTCTGCAGGACGACATTGAGAAGTCAGTATGTGGCCATGGTCCCACCAGAACTGAAGATCTAAGGGTTGGCTCCTAGTTGGGGTCCTGCTCAGAATCATCCTGCCTGGACATCTGAGACCTGGCCACATGTGGTTCCAATGGAACAAACAACCCCACTGGTGAGATCCTGAAGGAACAATCTATACACCACATGCAAAAATCTGGAGCCAGGTGCGGTGGTTTTGCCTGTGAGCCCAACAGCTTGGGAGGCAGGAGGGTTGCAAACTTGAGGCCAGCCTCAACAATTTACAAGACCCTACCCAAAATAAAAAATAGGAGATAAAAAGTACGGGAGACACAGCACAGTGTTAGAGCATCTCTGGGTTCTATTCCCAGTACCATTAATGATAACAACCTCAAAAACAGAATGAGAACGCAGATACACAAGCCTACGATCTGACAGGAAGCACAGGGCCAAGGAAGAATCAAGACCCTAATCAAAGAGGAGGGCAGGGGGCACAGAATAGGGAGGCATCAAGCACAAGGCAGCAGGGAGCCAGTCCACACACTGTACCCATGGCCATGCAGGGCCGGGTGTCCCAGACCCTCAGTCCCTGCTCAGAGGCCTGCCAGCCCACGCGATGCCTCAGTTCTCTGGGCACTACCACCCAGCCCTGTCCTGTGGCCACAGCAGCAGGTGAGGCCGGCTGACACCTGTGACTGGACAGGAACTTCCACACCACCTTCTCAGGAGAGGCCCCATGTCAACTGGCCACTGAGAGGAAAGAGGTCACCTGGACCCCAAGAAGACAACATAGAGTGGCCTTCGGGAGGCCCTCCAGATTTCCACAGCCTCCTCACAGCTGTAGCAAGAGGCCAAATCACCCGGCGCTCACAAAACGTACCCGAGCATCGGCCCGGAATTCCCTTTTCCTGCGAATCTTCTTGAAGATATCCGTGAGCTCGTCCCGGACCTCCTCGTCTCCCTCGCTAGTCCCAGCAGCAGCTTCTGGAGTGGCGGCCGTGGCACCTGCTGCTGCTGGTGAGGCCTGGCCTGGAAGAGGCGCATCGATGGCCGGGTCCTCGGCGTGCTCTATCAGCCACTCCATGGCTTGAGGCACCGACATGCTGAGAGGGGACAAGACACTCTATTCAACTCTCCCAGGCCAGTAACAGGGCTCCCGTCCCACGTGCACCAAAGAAGGGACACTACTGTTCAGGCAACTTCACCAGCAGCAGCAGGTGGCCCCTTGGGACAGGAACCCTTCACACAGCCCTTGCCTCAATCACCAAGGCTCTTGCCGTGCAGACGCCGTTTTCTAAGCCAAGAGCACCAAACACCCAGGGAGTATGAATCCAGGTGCATAACACGGGACACGGCCTCTGACCACCCCCCATGAAGACTTTGTGTCAAGCAACTAAAAGCACGAATCTCAAGAAGTACTAATAGAGCCCCGGTCCCTGGTGGGAGGAGGCTCGACGCTGAGCTCTCAAAACAAGGGCACGGTGAGCACCAACAGGTCCACCAGTTGGCTTACATTTCCCCCAAAGGAGGAGAGAATTTAAAACTCATGATAGCCACGTGCAGTGGTGCACAGACCTGCAGTCCCAGCTACTCAGGAGGCTGAGGAAGGAAGACGCTGGAGCCCAGGAGTTCAAGGACAGCCTGGGCAACGCAGCAAGACCGAGGCTCAGAACTAACACAACACCACTTTGAGCTAAGCACAATGGTGCACACCTGTAACCCCAAGTATTTATGAGGTGAGGCAGGAGGACTGCTAGTCAAGGCCAGCCTAGGCAATGTAGGAACCTGACTCATGAAGGGATAAAAAGGGCTGGGGCTGGGGCCCAGTGGTGTGGCGCTTGCCTAGCACATGTGAGGCCTTGGGTTCCATCCTCAGCACCACACAGAAAAATAAATAAAAGATAAAGTTATTATGTCCAACTACAACTAAAAATATTTTTTTAAAAAAGGGCTGGGGATGGAGCTCAGTACACAGTACTCCTGAGTTCAATCCCCACTACTTAAAAAAACAAAACACACTTCAAGGTGATGAATTAAGCTACCTGTGGGGCACACATATAGGGTCCCCTTTAAAAACACACATGTATTGGGAATGACCCAATGAGCGAAGCATGTGCGTGACTGGCAGAGAGGACGGGACCCCAGCAGGCCCACGAGACCATGCCCCAGCATCTCAGGAAGGAGAGGGCCTGACGTACTGGTTCAGCCGAAGGGCCTTTGCAGCCCTGCTCTCAGGAAAGCCCATCTCTGTGAGCTGCCGCAGGGCGGCCTCATCCACTCGCTCGTCCTCATCCTCGTCCAACATGGCTGTGGGAAGAGAGGAGACCAGCCACGTCAGGGAGGCGTTCTCAGGGCCCCCAAGTTTGTCAGGCACATCTGCAACACCAAGCGCTTCTAGCACGTTCTGAGACCTCAGGGAACCCAAGCTGTAGCACCAGCTCTCGCCCTGTGTGCAAGGAACGGGGTATCGGCAGGCAGCCGGCCCACACCAGCGAAGGCAGGCACAGCTGCTGACCTCTCCAGCTTCACGCCAAGGGCTGCGGCATGTTCTCTGAGGCAGAGGGTAGACGGGTGGGAAAGAGAGTCATGCAATCAGTCTGGGTTCTGCTCATACCATTTGCCTTCTTAAACAATTCAACTGCGTCAGGGTTCAGTGCTAACAACTTCTGTGCCACCTCGATGAGAGACACCAAGATTTTCCGGAGCTCTGTCTGGAACTGCAGTGGGGAAAAAAAATCACTTCTCTGACATCAACAAGCCTCTGTCACCTACAGCCCCACCTGTTCTAACACGCCAATTAAACCAGGCTGCCTGAGAGAGGAGGGCTGGGCTTGGAGCCGCACCTCCTCAGGAGGACCCCTCAGGAAGGAAGGGCTTTGTGCACATGGACAGGGCAGGGCTCAAGGCCAACACACATACATCTGGTGCCAAACCCCGAGAGCGAAGTGTGCCGCTCAGCCTATGGCCAGTGAGGAAAGCACTTGTCGGCCAGGGTTAGCAGCTTTGCTGAGGAGAGAATATTCTGATGACTCCACCTGTCCAACTGGCTGGCCACAGCCTAACAACAAGGGGGCTGGCACGGTGCCCTCAGAGACTCTGCACACCAGCTCTAGCCAGGGCAGGCCTGGGGGTCAGATCAACAGCTCCTCCCACACAAGCCCAGGCCTTTGAGAGTCCCAGGCTGGACACACAGAGGCAGGGGTAGGACACCCACCCGCTGCTGTGGAAGGGTTCTGGGCAACACAGAACTCTCTAGAAGAGACCCCAAGAGAGGTGTTCCTAAAACAAAGCAGACAAGTTCTCGAAGTACCCAGGTCACAGCTGATGGCATGAGGTCAAAGGCTGGCCACCGTCCCCCCTGCTGACATGTGAGCATGCCCTCAGCCTGCACCATCCACTCTAGCATGGCAAACACATTGTCTTTTAGCTTAGAACTTTCCAGTCCAAAGTAACTTAAGCCCTCGGGCTCCATCCTAACAGTTCACCACTCTCAGAAAAGACGTGACGCTCCCCAGGGTTTACATCTTTTCAGCCCCGTCCCCAGGTGTCTTTAAACTTCCGGTTTTGAAATAGTCTGAGATGATGGGAAAGCTACAAAAGTAATAAAGATTTCCCAAATTCCCTTCCTGGCTTCCCCAAACATTTGTTTTTTTCTCTATTGAGACAGGGCTTTCCTAAATTGCCCAAGCTGACCCAGACCTTGCAATCCTACTGCCTCAGCCTCCAAAAATACTGGGACAGCACACAGCGCCAGCCCTAGGCACTTCTGGGGAACCTCTCACAGACCCCAGGTGCTCAGTACAGACCCCCACCCACTGTGGGACAGCACTCACATCCCTCATGGTGGTCTGGACTGCAGCCCGGTCCGTGCTACAGGCGGGCAGGTTGGCTGTGGCCCGATGTATGGCGTCTCTGTCTGGAGCCTTCTGTTCTTGTTTCTTCTGTACAGAAAGTGAGGCGAGTCACAGGTGGGCACAGGAGCATAAAGGCATCAAGCTCAACAGCAGGCCTGTCTGCCCAAGCTACAGCCATACACCCTGGCAAGCTGAGGTTCTGGAGTCCTGTGCGCAACCCAAGGACGGAGTGCAGGTGGGACTCAGGAACACCAGGCCTCTATGGCGTGGCAGTGCCACAGAGCAGCCACCCCCAGCTGCAGCGGGCAGGGCACAAGAACTTCAGAGGAGCCTGAAGGAGAGAGCAGCCTCCCAGAGCCTCCCTGGTAAGCGTGAAGAACGTGGAGGCAGAAACAGAACACAGGGTGAAGCCAACAAGCCTGGGAGAGACCCAAGGCAGAACCCTGGAAGCAAGGCCACGCCACCCTCCCCTAATCCCCCAGGCGGGTGCCAGATGGCACCAGCTCTGGAGCCACAGGGGGCACTCCTCCAGCACTCAGCTCAGCAAGCTGCTCCCTGAAGAAAGCTACCCTGAGAGCTGTGACAGGACTCAAGGACGGCAACCCAGAAGGGAGGGAGCAGCACCCACCTGCGCCCCGTCAGGAGACCCAGCCCTGGCACTACTCACATCAGTGACCCAGCAGGACAGGCAGAGCTGTGGGCTGAAGCAGGCAAGATGGCTGGGCTCGCACCCCACAGTCAGCCTCATGGGCACAGACACCAACAGGCTTCCAGGGCCTCTCAGAGGCAAGAGACAGGCAAGAATAGCTGGGCAGGTGCAGGGAGAGCATCCAGGATAAATCACAAAAGCCAAAATAAGAACAGGAAAGGTACAAGAGCAGCAAAGAGGGGATGTGGGCACCAGCAGCCAGTAGTCACGCTCCTCTGTGGGCACCAGGGCACCCCAACAGGAGCTGCACAGCCAGACAGAAGGCTCTGGGGGGTGGAAGACAAGGGAAGGGGATCATGCAGGAAGCAGGCCCACCAGCCAACAAGCCAGAGCAGCAGACAAAGCGAGGACAAAAATCAGCAAAAGGGACCCAGCACTTGATGCCTGGAACTCAAACATCAGTCTCCAGAGTCGAGTGCCAGGCACAGTGAAGGACAGAGCTACCTCAGAGCACCTGTGACGCCCCAACACCATCAGCACCCAGAGGGCCCAAGAGGTGCCACATGGAGCAGGGAGAAGCCAGATCACACAGGGTGGAATGCGCCCTGCTGGTGCTAAATCTATGCCAGGACACGGGAACACAAGGCCTAAAGAATGAACTCCCTTCCCAGACACCAGAGGAAGCCAGGCTCCAGCAGACAAGGGAAGCAAGTGACACACTCCACTCCACTCCACTCCACAGCAGGCAGAAGTGCACCGGCCCCAAGCTCCTTCCCGGGTCGCCTCTGCATGGCTGCAGGGCACTGGCATGGAAGATCCCACTGTGGGTTTGGGTTTCATCCCGAGAATAGCCAACTTCAGGAAAAGCACATGATCTAAGGTGACCCTGGTCTAAACAGAAGGGCCCTTATGAAGCACAGGGTTCCTCTGGTAAGAGGGATTCAACCCCTAAAAAACTTTGTTGCAGGTTGTGAAGATGGAGGGCCACCACCCAAGGAATGCAGTCTGCCTCCAGGAGCTGAAGGCTGCCCCTCCCATGCCAGTGAGAAAATGGGGCCTCAGCCCTATGACTGCAGGGACCATAAGAGCCTGAGAGCAATGCACTCCCCAGAGCCCCTAGAAAGGAACCAGCACTCTGACACCTTGATTCCAACTCCAAAGACTCTGGGTACAGAAATCAGCAGAGCCTTCTGACCAAACGAACCACAAGCAAGAAATGAGTGTTGTTTTAAGAAGGTAAGTCTGTGGCCATTTGTTAGGTGGCAATAGGAAACCTGCATACAATTCTAAAATGAGAGAAAGAAGCACAGGAGGCAGGAGTGGACGATTCAGACAGATGAAGGCCACAGGCGCTTAGAGGGAAATTTCTAAGAAAAGGCAATTGTTGACTGATGACCTAATTAATATACACAAGCACGTTTTCAGAGGGTTTACCAATTCTGTTGAAGAAAATGAAGTGATGATAAAAAGCTAAGCAAGAAAGCAAAATGACAAGGCGATTATTACCTCCAGGACAAGCAACTGTGTAAAAAGATAATCTCGTGGGGTGAGTACAGGGGATACACCCAGGGCCTTGCACATGCTAGGCTAACGCCCTACCCCCAGACAGATAATCTTCATGTGCCTTGCATGTGGCAGAGAACTACACATCAGTAACAATAGTAATGGAGCCACGGACACCCTCTCCCATCAACACTCCGCTTGACACCTGTGGGGAGAGTGGCGAAGCCTGGGGGCTCCATTCTGCTGTTAAGGAGCCAGCAGCCCAAACTGGCAATTCAAGAAACAGCAACACATGTATGCTCCTCAGAAATAAGAAAGAGGACTACTAAAGACAACAGCTGAAAGCACCATGAGTGGTCACCTTGGGGGACTATGACTCTGGTGTGGCAGCCAGCTACTGGTTTTATTAAAAGACCAGTAGAACTATGTGACTTTTTAGCTACATATGGAGAAAAATTAATCCATGGGCTGGGGTTGTGGCTCAGTGGTAGAGTGCTTGCCTCATACGTGTGAGGCACTGGGTTCGATTCTCAGCACTGCATATAAGTAAATGAATAAAATAAAGATCTATTAACAACTAAAATAATTTTTTTAAATTGATCCACAAACTATAAGTTGGCATCTTACAGTGTGTCACTCTGCCAAAACATGGAGGAGCAGCAGGTCCAGGAGCCCCACTGCACCCTGCAAGCCAGCTGCCCAGAGGACTGTGGGGCAGGTCAGAACCCCAGCACCATTTATAAACACCAACAGTCAAACCTGTGATCTGAGAACAACAGGCCTGGAGCAGTTCTTGGAAGCAGGCCTAGTTCAGGACAAGCTGGGGCAGGCCCAGGCCTATCCACTGGAGAAGGGTGCCCGCCTATGCCCACACCCTGGCCAGGAGCAGCTGAAGATAAGGAGGGCCCAAGGCCTGGTACACTCCTCTTACATCCCTGGTCCCAGAGGAGACCCCAAAATAGCTCATCTGCTATCAGGTCACGGGCCCAACCCCAGGAGTTTGGCCTGCTCATCCTCTGGGCCGAACACTGTTTCTGGGTGTCCCAGGAAGGAGTAAGAAGCTCGACCCCCATGAGATAAGAGCTGTTAAACAAAGGTGCTGCCCTTTAAGATAGGACTGCTTTGCGCTAGCACACGGATGAGAAGTCGGGGTTCAGAGCAGAAAGACACCCATCTGCAGAACAGCTCTCATCAGGAGCTTCCCACTAGCCCATAACAACCTACAGCTTTCCTAAGGCACTTATGTTAAAGGGAAGATGCAGATCATAAATCCACTCTATGAACATGAATCGGCAAGACAGACAAAATGCAGCTTCTCAGAACAGCAGTACCCCCTCTCTGTTCCTGTGCTGTCTCTTGGGGGGGGTCTCTTAACAACTGTGCTACACTGTTCTATTGAGACCAATCTGGCTGCTTGAGAAAAAGGAAAGGACAGAGGTTAAGCTGAACGGCAGCACAGGCTTGGGCTGTAACCGAAGAACTTGCCCTCACTCCCCTCTGCATCTCAAAAACCATATAGCCAGCTTTTCTGGGGCTTGTCACCCATGAGGGCTTGTCACCCATGAGGGACAGACCAAGATCAGCTAAACAGGCTCAGCCATGACTGAGAATCCCTAGTAGCCACATGGTCCATGACTGGGGATTATGCCCAACTGGTGAATAATCAGTACAGAGAATGTTTCCTAACAATCTCAAGCACAGGAGACTCCCACCAAGAGCACTCTGGCTGCACACCATGGCACGTACCTTTTCTTCTGCGGAGACATCAGCCATCTTGGGAAGTGCCTCTGGAGCACGCTTTTTTATCAATAATAGGACATCTAGAGAGAAAGAACGTTTCGCAGCGTAAGTGGAAGAAAGGACAGAACAGCCGTGGTTCCCCCTGGGTCCATCCTAAACCCAGCAAGCCCATCCTCCCTCGGTGTCCATGATGTGTGTACAACCCTGGCTGACATACAGTTCCTGGGCCTGAAGAGCAGCAGACGGAGGGTGGTCACAGGTGACCATTGGCCCAGGAGACAGGCATAGTGCAGCACTGACCAAGAACTCATGGGAATCTCTCAAATGTTCTCGTTTTCATGGGCTCAGTTTCAAAAACTCTGTGAGGCTGCAAAGTTTACTCTTGCAGCTCAGAGCTGATAACTCAGTATTTCCAGAATTAAAGTCACTATTCGAAGTGACACACAGAAAGCTGGGGTTTCCTCCCCACATGCCCCAGGCACAGTCAAGTGATGCAGAGAATCTGTGCATGAGCACAGGCCCGGGTGCCTGAAGCCCCATGAAGGTGGCTCCCAGCCCATCAGTAAAACCTGCAGACACTCCAGAGTCAATTTTGCTTTGAAACAGAATTAAAAATAAAGTCCATGTTAGGTTCTCAGGTATCTGTTTGCTTGCTCAACTCTGGGTTCTGCTTTCTTTCTTTTTTTTTTTTTGGTACTCTGGATTGAACCCAAGGGTGCTTAACCTCAAAGGTGAACCTCAGGGGTGCATAATCTCTGAGCCACATCCCCAGCCCTTTTTTATATTTTCTTTAGAGACAGGGTCTTGCTGAGTTACTTAAGGCCTTGCTGAGGCTGGCTTTGAACTCGAGATCCTCCTGCCTCAGCCTCCTGAGCCACTGGGATTACAGGCGTGCACCACCGTGCCCAGCAGTTTCTGCCATTTTTCACAAATACACCAACATAACACATGCTTTTTTTTTTTAGTAAAAAGAAAATAAAACCAGAGCAGGCCCAGTTTCCCCACTCATATCCAGCTCAGAACTGGACATCATGCTGGCAAGGGCTTATGGCTCCCAGGTCCCATGCCCCACAGCCTCTGGGCACCACCTCACTGGAGGCCACTTACCTTTGTCTTGGACATTCTCCTCTAAGATTGTCCTGGTGTCACTCAGCACCCTCTCTGAAGCAGCGTGGATTAACTTATGATGGGTCACACTTTTGGGATCCTCTAAGCTCCCATGAGCACACTGCAGGGGAGAAGCAAATGACACATATCTAAACAGAAAATATGTCACAATGCCAATAACACAGGACCTGATGTCCGAGGTCACACAGAAATCAACTGGCTTCTTACTAGCTAAGCCATTAAAGCTGAGAAGAAATCAAAGAATCCCATCACCAACAGAAGCTAGATGCAATGCCAGGACCCATGATCCCAGCCTCTGACCTCAGCACCCACCTACCACAGACTCCTGAGCTTGGACACGCAGCACCCTCCTGATAAGTGGTGCAACCCAGACCGACTCCTTAGTCTGGAAAGATCTGGAAAGTAATTTTTTATTTATTTATTTATTTTGTAGTGCTGAGGATTAAACCCAGTGCCTCATACATGCTAAGCAAGCACTCTACCATTGAGCCACAACCCCAGCCTGCAAAAGTAAATTTTGAGTGAAAATAGGTCTGTTGTTTCCTGATAACCTAGAGATCCAGGTACACTCTGAGCACTTGTTTTTCTCTCTTCCATGGTACAGTCCTTTGTGAAAGGGAGTGGAGGTCCGCAAACAAAAAGAACTGTTCCCAGAGGCAAGGACCAGGACCTGCCCAGGGAGCCCACAAAGTCCCCAGGACAGTGCTGAGCACAATGGCCTCAGACTGGCCTCCAGCCCACTAGTGACAGCCACACTGTGCACGCAGCTTCCGGCCCTCCTGGGGCAGCTCACAGGGGATCAACAAGCACACAGTCATGTCTATGACACCTAGAAACCCAGTTACATGCATGGGGCAGCAGAAGAAAGGGCCTGATATCTTCATCCACCCAGGGAAGGCGGCCACATGCACAAGAGCATGGTCCTCATGCATACCACACAGCTACCCCACCCACACTCCAGGGTGCCTCCAGATACCACCTCCATGGTCAGACTCCACAGGCCAGGAGGGAGCCCAAGCAGATTCTCCTAATCCTGTAATATCATCTAAATATCTCACAGCAAATGACTGGCAGGGGCCAGGCAGACATTTTCTTTATTCAATGAGGCTTCTCTCTGTGCACAGCCGTGGGCCACCCTCCAGACCCACACACCTACTGGATCACAGAAGTCCCGCCCACCTGGCCACCACGCACAGTAGGTCCTGCAATGCGGACAGCACCACGCAGGAAGACCATGTGAGCTCTTGGTGCCTGTTGGTGGGCCACGCATGCTCACCAGGGTCTGTACCCAACATCCCAACCCCTTCCCTGTTCATCAGCATCACGCATCACACAGTGCCCACCTCTCAGTTGTGCCCCACCCATGAGCCAGAGCTTTGGGCTGGGGAAGTGGGGTGGCACTTATACTTTGGAAAAAACACACAAATGCTTCCAGAGCCCAGTTTGGAGGCCCCTGAAATTCAGAATGGAGCTAGGGGCCCCAACTATATTCCTACTGCTATGGATCCCCTGGGCTTAGATGACAGAATTATCTAAAGAACAGGAAAGGAAGAAGCCAGGTGAGACAGCTCAATGGCTGCCTCTGAACACCCAGCATCGAGCTGCATGTGTGGCCTGCCCTCCAAGGGGGCTGTGTGCCATTCCAAGACATGCCCACCCCAGAACGCTCAGGGCACCAGGGTCCTCCAGGCCTTCCAGGACGCGTCAGGAAGCCACGGGCAGACTCCACTGGAGGCCTGCTTGCCACCTCCCTAGCCATCAGACATTCAAAATACCCCACACAGACAACTGTTAACCAGAAAAGAAGAAACAGAAGCACATTCTTCACTCAACATCAGAATTGTAAGAGTAGCCAAAATGTCTGTTAGTCTCCAAGACTGAAAACAGCTTTAAAAAAAGCATCATGCAGGCTTAAGAGGTCGACGCAGATTCAGACTGGCCTGAGAGTGGAGGAGGAGAAGCCCAGCCACAGTAGTCTGCATTCTCTCCTCTGATGACGTAGGTCAGAAGCCGCAACTCCCTTGAACTTGGCAAGGGTTCTGTTCCCAGAATATTACATGTGCCTCTTGGTAGTACTAAAATTCACAACTAATTCTAGTTGATTGGTCAAGTTCAGTTTATGAAACAGAGTTTAAAAAAAATCCTCATCCTGGTTCCACAAAAACTGTACTCTGCAGTTGTCAACAGCACGCTGGGGTCATAACGTAAGCATGGATTACCCCTGCCTCGCATGACAATCTCCTTCCATCTCTGCTGCACATGCCAGGATGCAGCAGCAAAGCCCCAATGGAGGCCACCACTAGGGCAGGGAGGCCTGCATCCCCTCTGCATCCCATGGCCTCCCCAGAGGAGCCACCTCTCACCTTCTCTCATACCTGATGCTGCCATGTGAAAATGACAGGACCTAGGAAGTTTTAGCTGCTATACTAGCAAGAATGGTGCTCTTTTCTGACACCTTATCACAGAAAAACTCCACCATGCCACATATATAACATTTTTTTAACACTTTTAACCCCCTATTAGACAAGAGCTTACTGTCCCCCTTCTCCCAGTAATGCACAATGGAAACCAGAGATTGCCAGGGTGAACTCACTTTGGATAAAACAAAAAAGGGAAAGGTAACAATAGCTATCCATCTCCTTAACAGCTGACAAACTGGGCACAATGGCACATGCCTGTAATTCCAACAACGCAGGAGACTGATGCAGGAGGACTGCAAGTTTCAGAACAGCCTCAGCAACTTAGCAAGACTGTTACAAAATAAAAAGGGTTGGGGGATGTAGCCCCTGGGTTCATTCCCCAGTACCTCCCCTCCAAAAACAGTTATGACAATCCCTCTCTAACACAGTAGAAATCTGGCAAAAGAACTAGGTGAGAGCTATGCCCACATCATCCCTCTTAAGGCAAAGGGGGAAAGAGGAAGGAAAATCTCCACCAGCATAAGCGTGTACAGGCAAAGTAGGCACAGGAAGGCAAAGCCAAGACATCCAGATCTCATTGCCTCCAGCAATACAACAGCTGCAGCTGTTTTCTGGGTGATGTTCAAGTGCAAAACTCGGGAATTCTCTTTTCTGACTACCACACTGACTCTGCCTGCAGGATGGTGGGATGAAGGGAGGACATTTTCTGAGAACACAGTCCACCAGTCCTGTGGCCAATGTGGATCCTCAAGGTGTGGAAGTCCCTGATGCTTAGATCCTCCACTCCCAGGGAAACGGCAGAGTGGAATGAAATCTCAACTGAAAGGAGGTTAAGAATGGGGGAAAAAAAAAAAATCCCAAATGATATAATCGCAATACCAACTAGAACAAGAAATATCATGAATAATCAGCATATTGAGAATACCTGCCTAATTAACCCCAAGTGCTCCTGTATCTAGGGATCATTTGCCATTTCCCTTCATAAAATACTACTATGATGGTTATGCAAATCCATACCACTATTGAGTTAGACTAAATGCCACACCTGTGTCTAAGCAGTTGAGAGTAAGTTTACATTTGTTTTATGAATCCTGACCTTTGTTTTGTGGCCACTCTAAGCCTGACCCTGGGCTTGTGGATACAAACTTAGTCCTTGAGGAGCCCACGCTCGGTGGGAGGACATAGCACCAAGGGGGGGGGCGAGGTAGTAAAGACACAAGCCTAGACAAGCAACAAACCTGACACTAACAAACACCCTGGAGGCCTTTGATTTCGAAATCCCTCCAAGCACACCTGCACAACCACTGTGCTCCAGTGGGGGCTGGAGGCTGGGTTCCACCACTCCTACCTCTGCACTTACAGACCAGCTCCACAAAATCATAAGTCCCATAAGATCAGCTCCACCCCTCACTGGAGGGGTGAAAAAGTACTATTTGCAAGCAGTTAATACAATAATAACTGAAAGTTTACCTTAAGAGACAATGCCAAACCATATTTTAACGCAAGCAACCTGAGGACTAAGTATGTAACTTTTCACCTAAAGTCCCCATTAAAAAGCTGTGGCTAGATTCTGCCAGGCAAAATTACATCACAAAGTACAGGCCACCAGGGCCTGAGAGGTGAATAGATGTCTCGCCTGAACTTAGTGAGAGGCAAAGGCCTCAAGAACTAGTTCCAGAAATTGGCAACCCAGAGGGCCTAACAATTTAAGAAGTATTTCCTATGAATAAACTTCAGCAAGTGGTACTCCCAGTGAGGAAACCCTTTGTCCTGGACCTTTCCACTAAATCAATTTTACCCGGCAGAAAAACCAAGAGTCGGGAGACTTGTCCCACTGTGGCACTATTTTAAGTGACACCAGCTAGGAGCCAACCCCAGGCCGGCTGGCTGGCCACAGGAAATCGCTCCAAGCAGCTGGCTCTGCAGGGACAGGAAAGGGTCCTCTTAATTAAGGAACGCACACTAACTCCCAGCTCTTGCGGGAGCCACTGAAGAACAAAAGCCTTACCCAACAGCAAGGAAGCAAGCACGGACGCCAGAAAACCACGAGCTCTGCTCGGGTCAGGCTGTCCTCGCCGGCCTCCGTTTTCCCATCTGCCCTACCTCCCCAAGTAGCTGTGGAAATTAAATGCAGGAGGCACGTAAAGTGCTAGGCCTGGAGGCTGGGCTCAGAAACAGCGCCCAGAGGTTTCCGAGTCGGGAAGGAGGGTACCGAGCTAAGGAGCTGGAGGCGCTGCCCCCGCCGCGGGCGGATACGGCCGGAGCGCGGGCGCCGAGGTCGGGGTCCGGGCCGGGGCGGGGACCGCGGGGCCGGGCCTTACGTGCTTGAGGCAGCGCTCCTTGAGCTTCTCCACCGAGGTGTCCTCGGTCGCCTCCTCCAGCCACTCGGCGCCGTCCGCGGCACAGATGTGCAGCCGCAGCACCTTGCCCGCGAAGATCTTCTCCTCCTGCACGAACATCGCGCCGCCGCCCGGGCCTGCACCCGCCGCCCGAGCCCGTGAAGGTCACCGGGGCGCACGGGCGGGGCGGGGGCGGGGCGAGCCGCCGGGCTCTCCTCCGCTGGGCCGCGCCGCCGCCCCGCCCCGGCTCCCGTCGGCCCGGCCGCCCGTCACTCGCCGCCGCCGCCCGAGCGGTCGCCTGGTTGCCGCCGCCGCAGCCGTCGGGGGCGTGCCGTCGCCGCCGCGCCGGAAGTGCGTTCGGGCGCGCAGGGGCATGCCGGAAGATGTGGTTCTCCGCGGGAGCCCCCTCCCGCAGGCGCGCCGGAAATGCGTGTCTGGCGCGCCACGTGCATGCCGGGAGTCGTGGTCCTCGGGGGCGGAGCCTCGGGGCGGCAGCCCGCTGGGGCGCCAGGAGGTGAGCTCCGGCGGAGCTGACACGGGGTCTCCAGCAGTTGGAAGGGACACGAAGCTCCTCGGTCATGTTTGTAGGTTGCGCGTCGAAGTGATATGTGGATCCATGGGCAAAGTAAAATATATTATTGAAATCACCTGTTTCTCCTTGTCTTGGAGGTATTGTGTCCAGCTGGGGTCCAGGTCCTTGATGTCCGGAACAGGGAACTGAGCAAGACACACAAGTAATAGGCAAGGTGCAGATTTCCTGAAGCGGCCGCGCGAGTGGCCCTCTGTCAGGCAGAGCAGAGAGGGCCCAGGGAGGCGCCGGCCGTCTGCACAGTGGTCCTGCATGCCCAACCGCCAGCCGGGTCTTTTCTAGCCTGATCTGACTGACGACCTTACCCCATGTGTCCCCATTGGCCACCTTATGATACTTGACTGACTTCTGTCCCCCTTTGGTTACTTTAGAAAACCTAATTAGAATACTGCCCACTTTACCCCCATTGGTCATTTTTTTTAAGCATCTGAAATTTATTGGTTGCTCAAAACTTTACATTGATCTTGACATATCATATACCATACATTTGTTTCAAATGGGGTATGAATTCTTATTATTCCCCCGTGTACAGATTGCAGAATCACATTGATTATACAGCCACGTTTACACATACTGCCAAACAAGTGTCTGTTGTATTCTGCTGCCCTTCCTATCCCCTTCCTATCCCCCCTCCCCTCCCCTCTCCTCCCCTCCCTCTACCCCATCTACCATAACTCATTTCTCTCACTCTAATTTTTTTTATTTATTTTTTCCTCCCCTTGGAATATTACTCAGCAATAAAAAACAACAAAATCATGGCATTTGCAGGGAAATGGATGGCATTAGAGCAGATTATGATAAGTGAAGTCAGCCAATCCCTTAAAAACAAATGCCGAATGCCTTCTTTGATATAAGGGAAGCGACTCAAAACAAAGCAGGGAGGAAGAGCATGAGAAGAAAATTATCATCAAACAGGGACGATAGGTGGGAGGGAATGGGAGAGAGAGGGGGAATTGCACAGAAGAGGGAAGGAGACCCATTGGTCATTTTAAAATACTGAACCTATGCGGTAGTTGTCTTGGTGATGGGACTTATGCTAAACAGGGACATGACTGCCCCCTGCCTCCCTCCGCATCGTCTTCTATACCCTGCCCCACCGTCTGGGCGCCCCTGAGCTCCTACCTTACACTATGGTGATTAGGAAGTTGAACCTGTATATGCTGCTGTGATGTTTCTTTGGGACAGCAAGGCCCTAGAGCAGAGTTCTCAGCGTGGGGCCCCCAGACCAGCAGCCTGGGGACTCTTCTGTGGGGTGTGACAAAGATTCCGTGCTTGGCCAAACTTTATCCATCCGGCTCCTGAACCTTATCTTAGGCCCATCCAGATTAAAGGACCCTGCAGAGTCAATTTAGCAGGGACCCACCTCCCTTTCTGGTTGGGCTCCTCATCCTCCACACCCCTCCCCCCAGGTGCCCTCTGATTGTTAGAGGATAGACAGGTGCAAATGGTGGGAGCAGGAGGTTGAGAATAATTCTATAAACTGCACCAATGTGCTGATCCCCACATGCTTTCTTTTCCCAGGAGCAATTGACCTGCAGCCCGGCCTGGCCTAAGTGGACAGGACATGTCACATTTCTCGGCAAACTATCTGTTATCTGCAGGAAAAATGTAGGCCTGGAATAACGTTGCTATGAGGACCCAAGTTACACTGAAGGGAGACACTTTTGTGACCTTTTCCACAAACCAGATTCTGAAACTCAAGTAGATAAGGATAATTCTTCTTAACCATAAAATCTGTAAGAATTCATGGTTAAGAATCCAATTAGAGGGGCTGGAATTGTAGCTCAGTGGTAGAGAACTTGCCTAGCAGGTGTGAGGCCCTGGGTTTGATCCTCAGCACCACTAAAAATAAATAAATAAAATAAAGATATTGTAATAATAATAATAATCCAATTAGAGGGGCTGGAGTTATAGCTCAGAAGTAGAACGCTTGCCTCACCCTTGTGATATACCGGGTTTGATCCTCAGCACCACATAAAAAATAAATAAATAAATAAAGATATTGTGTCTATCTTTAAAAAAAAAAGAATCCAATTAGAACTGGTCAACATGGGCCAAGGTGACCTAGATTTGTCATGGCCATGTGGACTTGAAAATCTGATGTCACCCTGCTGTCAGTCAAAAGTCAAGAAGTGGGCCTAGGTTGGACTCTCTGGAAACTTCTCTGGGATCTGCAATAAAGCTGGAGTACAGGAAGCACACAGTCCCTCTCCTCTCTGAGAGGACCACTCTCTCTCTTGAAAGTGTCCCTTTTCCCTTTCCCTATCCCTTCAATAAACGCACCCCATTGCTCTGAGTGATAAGTCTGAAATCTTTCTGACTTGATGGCAAGAATTGGGGTTGAAGAGAGGGTCTTCATGCTGTCTCAGTTTCCCGAAAGGCCTCAGCTCTGTAGCATGGTCACCCTGGCCTATTAGGACAGTTTAGCCAGAACCCTAGAACCTCTCTTACCACAGATGCTTTCTCTTTTTCTTTCTCCCTTGGGTACGGGGGTGTCCAACCCAGGCCTCATACATGTTAGGCAAGTGCTGAGCTACATCCCCAGCTGAGCTACATCCCCAGCCCTTTTTAAATTTTGAAACAGAGTCTCCAAGTTGCCAGTCTGTCTTCGAACTTGTGATCCTCCTGCCTCAGCCTCCCAAATCTGGAATTACAGGTGGGGGCCACTGCACCCAGGCAGAAGTGTCCTCTTAATGTTCCATCAGCTGCCCCTGCTTTGCTCCTTGGCTATAAATTCCATGCTGTGCTGTGCCGTGGTGAGCCTGATCTCTCTCCTCCTCTACTAGACCCTGTTGTCCTGGTCCTTGTACCTGTCAGTTATCCTGAATAAAGTCTTTCTCATGCTTAATGGGTGTCTCTGAGTAATGTTTGTTTAATGGGTGGCCACTACCAGAGGCGCAGTCTGGACTAGACCTAGGCCCTTGACTGACACCCACACACTCATGGGATTCACTCAGAAGCCTTGGTGGACACAGGAGGATGAGCTGTGGTTCCAAGGTGGGTGCTCTTTGTGGGGAGAGGCCCAGGGTCTCCCTGCTCAGGCCATTCCTCTCTGAGCCACTTTGCACACATGTCCTCATCTTTCCCTGGGAACCGGTTCCAGTCATGTCCAAATCCCTGTGGTGTAGTCTAGCTTACCTCCTGCCCTCCAGGACCTGGAGCCTGTGAGTCCCTGAAATTCAGCCAGGATGAAGACCAGAACCGGGTTCTCTCCTGGGAAGGAGCGGTACTGACCATAGGAGACCCTGGGGTCAGGGGAGGCGAGGGCAGGAGGAGGAAGCTGCAGATGGAGGGAGGAGACAGAGGCTGGAACAGAGGGATGATCAAAGGCAGGCATGGAGGAGTTAGGGGGTGGGAAGAAAGTGACAAATCGCTCCGCACTTCTGGCATTTAAAGATGGTGAGCAGGGCCAGGGAGGCTGGGGGCGCATGGAGTCAGCTTGGGGGAGCTTCTCCAGGGCACATGATGTCATCGTGAGAGCCACTGAGGGGATGACCCGGCTGCAGTAGGGAGCCTGGGAAGGTTCTACTCGCCCGGCCAGCGACACGCAAAGGGGGAGGAGAGAACAGAACCCACAGGAGAACCCCAAATGTCACCTGCCACCTGGGTGTCTTCAGGGGCCTGGCAGGGCACAATCCTGCCTGGCCACAGACCACAGACGTCACCCACAACCCAGTGATGCTGTGCGACAAAACCATCTTCAAGCTCAAGGCTCAGAACAAGTCCATGACCCTCACGAGCCCGGGGCTGACCAGCGGTTCTGCCAACCTGGGCAGCTGCTCTGATTCCAGCAGGGCTCCTCGGTCACCTGCCTTCAGGCTGGCGGACGGGTGGCCCTGGGCTCTCAGATGGATGGCCGCGTGGTCTCCCGTCCCCAGCTTCCTGAGGCCTGTTCCCTGGAGTGTCTGCTTGTGCTCCTCCTATTGGCATCCTTTTGACCATGTCACACAGCTGGGAGTGAAGTCACCGTGAAGGGCTGAGGGCAGGGACATGCGGAAGCCACTGATGGGGCCGGGAGAGCACCTCTTTGTCCAGCTCAGAGGTTGGTGAGGAAGTTGGGCCTCTCTGGGAAGTGGCTGAGGAGAGCGCCAGGGCCCTGCCGGAGGCTCATGGGCAAGAGGTGCTGTAACATAGCACTTGTCTGCCCACACCACAGAACGTGGGGATAGAAGCTCACAAGCTGCACCCCTTCCAGCAGCTGCAACTCCCCAAGGACACCTGGGTCACTTGGTAGCCGTGAGCTGGACAATCACGGGTTCTTTATTCCGATCTTAATTTGTGATATCTGTCCTACTCAAGTCAGATGTCCCACTGACTAGTGTACGGAAAGGCTAAGAAAAGGAGAAGACGGCCTGTTCCCCACAAAGACTCTGGGGTTGGTTTCAAGGGAGACTGGACACATTGCTGGGCTGGTCACACAGGGGGAAGGGGGCTCCGGGGCAGAGGGTGCAGCTGGAGAGGGCCCAGCCTGGTCCTCAATGGCACCCACTTCCAACAGGAGAAATCTGGATCCCATCTTGGAGTCAAACCCTCCCAATTGCCCACCGAGCTGTAGGCTATACGGAGCAGGGCCCACCCCACCTGGGGACTGCCGAGTGTCCGCACGGCCATGCAGGCAAAGGCTCAGGCCATGGATTTGAATTGGCAGACCCTCTGGGAACATGAGCAGGCGGGAGACGTGTGAGGTGCTGAGGCCACTCGCTCTGGCCTCTCTGTCTTCCTGGAGGCATCAGGAGGCAGGTTCTCACCGCCTCCTGGGCTCTAACGAGGTCGGGGCCACATTCCTACCCATAAGCAAGTACCACAAACTCACGAGTGGCTTAAAGCAGCAGAAATATATCTGCTCACGGTCCTGGAAGCCCCAAGTCTGAAATCCAGGTGTGGCCAGGGTGGTCCCTCTAGGGGCCCTGGGGTTGGAGCCTTCCTGCCTCCTCCAGCTGCTGGGGGGCTCCAGGTGTCCCTGGCCTGAGGCAGCACCACTCCAGCCTTTGCCTCCCTCTTCCCGTGGCCTCTCCTCTCCTCCCAGTGTGTCTCTTACGAGGACACCTGTCATTGGATTCAGGGCTCACCCTCGTCTATAATGATCTTAGCTCAATAAGATTCTTACTTAAATCTGCAAAGAACTGTTTCCCAGTGAGGCTCATCTGCATTCCAGGGTTGGGGCATGGCTGCATCTCTGGGAAGCCCCCACTGAGACAGCACAGGGCTACCCTTCTGGAAGGCTCTGCAGCCACAGTGCCCCACTTATGTGGGACCCTCATCCTCCTGTGCTCTGATGTGCTCCGGTAGCTGTGTGATGAGGCTGCAGAGCCACACCCCACGCTCCCCTCCATGGTCTGTGTCACTGATAAACTGAGCCTAGGGCAGCTTGTGTCATCAGCAAATCCACAGGTCTGGCCTTATCTCCTGTGGCCTTGTGGTCTGTCATGAGCCTCAGCAGAGTCCCTCCCTGCCCCGCCTGGGCTGCTCACCACTGCCCGTTGCTCCTGGGGTTCCCACGTGACTCCTGCTTCCTTGCTCCAAGCCTGTCAACCCAACCCCTTCTCAGACCTCGGGCCTCCTCCTCCACTCTGCCCGCCTGCCCGGCCACCGCTCGGCATACTGAGCGTGCTGGCAGATTTTCTCTGAGGATCTCAGAAGTCAATGTGAGTGGACACCTGGGGGTGGCAGGTCCTCCCTAGGCAGAAGCCAGTCTGTGGCCACCCTGCACCCTCGGGAATGATGGAGAAGAACAGGAAATGCCCAGAGGGGCGTGGACAAGGCCTTTCTATATGCCCATGTGCTGCTCCCAAGGCCCTCACCAATCCTGGCTCTTTGGGGTCCCTGGGATGCGACAGCAGCATGCAGGGGGGCCTCTGGACTCCAGTCGACCAGTTTGGTGTCCACGTCTGTCCCTTCTCACTGCGAGACAGCAGGTCACTTCCCTTCCGAGCTCCCTCCTGGATGAGGGTCAGGCTAACGTCTGGACACAGAGGTGCCACCAGAGTGCCTCCAGGGAGGACCTGCCGCAGGCTGCCCCGCCCTCAGCCCTCAGCACCAGCCCAGCTGTGGAGGCACCTGTGGGGGTCACACCCCTCCTGGGTGGCTGAACTCAGTGGGTTCAGGCCATTTCATGGGACACGCGGTTAGGGGTACGTACCCTGAGCTGCCCCACCTGCCGCGGCTTGGTTTCTCCCTCCGCCTGAGGTGGCCTCCCTTACCACCAACCATCCAAATGCTGGTCCCAGTGGCCCTCATGTGCCCTGAAACTGTTTCTTGGCCTCTACTCTGGAGAACATGCTGGCACAGCCGCTGTGGTTCACAGGTTCCCATGGTTTATTTAGTACCTACTCTGTTCCAGGTGCCACCTTAGATTTGGAGTGCAGCTGGGAGAAGGTCACATGGGACTTCCAGTCTTGGGGAGAGTGGGCCTCTGTTCCCAGGTAGGGTCAGGGCCCTTCAAGGGCTCGGGCAGGGCCGAGGGGGCTTTTAACTACAGTATCCAGCTTTGGCCACTTCAGGCAGAAGAGGAATGCACAGAGGAGGTGCTGGAATGTTCCAAAACCTCCCTTGGCCAGGAGAACCAGGCTGGGGCTCAAGGTCGCTGCAGGGGTGTCACCAGGTAAGTCCACTGCCAGCAGCATGCTGGACACCCTACCAAACTCCATCCCTCCAAGCTTGTTGAGTAGGGGCTGGTCCACACAAGCCCACACTGACAGCCTCTGAGTTGTGCCAGAGATACACTGCTCCAACAGGGTCCCCAGAGGGGTCTGGGGGCCAAAGAGTCTTGGTCCCCCCACTTCTTCCCTCTTGCCGCCTGGAGAACTTGGTCACTCCTGGGGCCCATCGCCCACCTCCTGAGGGGTGCTGGCTCGCACCAGCTCTCCCTCGGGTCTCTGCACCCAGCCTGAGGGCTGCAGCTCTGGGCCCTGCAGTGTTTGTGGCAATGCCAGCCCCAAGGTCCCTTTCGTTGAGAGACAGCAGGTTACTTCCTGCTGTGAAGAAGTACCTGTTGTTCTCAGGAAGAGGCAGGGAGGTGGATCCTCCTCCCTACCTGCCAGTGCCCCTGCCTTGGATGGGCTGAGCATGGCAGCCCTGGGCCCAGCAGGAAATCATCCAGAGAGGGGAAGAGCTAGCCCTGCCAGGGGCTTGAAGTGAGCTGGACAGCCCAGCCCAGCCCTGGCTCCTACCCCAGCACTGAGAGTTCCCTGGAGGGCCTGAGCTGCCCTGGGTGGTGGCTGCTGAGGACATGGCCATCCTTCTCCTGGCCTACCTTGACAAGCTCCCTGGGCAGACTCGGCCCAGCCCTGCACAGGGTCAATGTGGGAGCCTGGGAAGTCACTGGCAGAACTGGACAGGCTGGAGACGGTCTTCCCGCAAAGGGGTCACCAAGTCTGACCTAGATGGGGCTCTACCACTGTGTCCAGACCTGGCTGTAAAATGAAATTATAAAAATGTCATGGTAAGAAACCAAAGCCTGGGGAAGGGCCTGCCCCCCTCCCCTCTCTCAGCCTTTCTCCAGGAAGCCTGACTGACGGGGTCCCTTCTTTTATGGAGGTTCTGACTCAAGGCCTTGCAACAGGAGCCAGTTCTTCCCCTTATCACACTCTGCTCCTGTAAACATGCTTCCCTCTGGACACGGGTGCACAACACTGTCAGGCAGACTAGAAAATCCACGCCCCTAGATAGCCTGTAAATGTGAGAAACTGGATGGGCGCTCAGGATTTGGAGTTTTGTCTTCCTCTGGGCCCACTTGTGTAAGATAAAGCTTGGAGTTCTGCTCCTCTCCAGTGCTGCTGACCACGTCTCTACAGCCGGTTTCCCAGGCACCACCACCTCCATGGACCCAGGAGGCCTCAACCAAGCTGGAAACCCTTGGAGAGAGCCAGCTGCGGTGCCAAGATTCAGCCGCTAGAGGGGGCAGGCGAGCCATCGTCCTACGGATGGGGGTGCGTGCAGTGTGCATGTGCGCGTAGTGTAAGAAGGTGCAGGTGTGCATGTTTGTGTGTCTGTGTAGGTGTGGGGTGCATGTGAGTGCTGCATGTTGTGTGTGTGTGCACACACAGACCTTGAGGGCTGGCATTGCCATGAACACTGCAGGGCCCAGAGCTGCAGCCCTCAGGCTGGGTGCAGAGACCCGAGGGAGAGCTGGTGCGAGCCAGCACCCCTCAGGAGGTGGGTGATGGGCCCCAGGAGTGACAAGTTCTCTAGGTGGCAAGAGGGAAGAAGTGGGGGGACCAAGACTCTTTGGCACCCAGATTCCTCTGGGGTCCCTGTTTGAGCAGCGTATCTCTAGTCCAACCCACTGCAGTCCTGGGAGGGACCCCGTTCTGTCCCCAGGGCCTTCCCCAGCTGGCCTCAGCACCTCCTGCAAAGGCCATCCTCTGAGGGGTTTGGCGAGTGACTCTGTTGCTTACACAATGTAATGTCCTCCCTGAGGTCCAGGAGGGCAGCTTCCACCCTCAGGGTCCCGCAGGCAGGCCCCTACGAGGCTGAGGGAACCCGCCCAGGCTGCTCCCAGCTCTCAGGATTTGGAGTTTTTCTCAGTCTCCAGCCTCTGCCTCCATCTCTGTGGGCCTCCTCCCCCATTTCTGTGTCCTCTCCACACAGGACATCAGTCATGGATTCAGGGCCCTCCCTGAATCTAGGAGGATCTCATTTCAAGATCGTTAACCAGTCACATCTGCAAAGACCCTGTCTCCAAACAAAGCTACATTCTGAGACTCGAGTGAACATGAGTTTGGGGGGACCCTCCTCTCCGCATCACACCAACCTAGGTGTCATGGGCGGTTCTTAGTGCCAGTGTGTCCCTGCTGTGTCCAGAGCTGGCCCTCCGCATCCTCCCCAGACAAGCCTCCCCTGAGGTTCGGGCTCAGCCCCATCGGCCTCTCAGCTGGTGGGGGAGATCAGAGGCCTGCGATGGGGAGTGGGAGGCAGAGGGCCCTGCCCCACCCCCACACCGCTGCCAAGGCACCAGGAGCTGTGAACTGCGAGCACTCCCAAGGTTAATTAATTATTACATTAAAATGCACCCGTTGAGGGGCCCCGCAAACAGGAAAGTATTAATCACTCGTTTCCTCAGACTGACAAGCACATTTCCCTAAATTCCTCCGCTGCTGACTTAACCGAATGATAATCCCCCGGCTGCTGCCATGTCCCATGAAGTCACAGCTCATGAATATTCTGGCATCGCAATTTGCTTTTTAAAAGGACAGACTTATTATTTCATTTTAAAGTTTGCTGTCGTGCATAGTAATTTCCCAGCTCCTAAAATGACGAAGTGGCAATGGCCGTTCTGGCCAGCCAGGAGCCAGGCCCTTGAGCACACAGCAGGACCCGTCTTTGCCATGTGGGGACAGGGATGCCAGGTTGTCCTGCACCCCAGCCTGACAAGCAGTCCACTATGGAACAGCCACTGGCGGAGCCGAGAGCAGGCTGCCCTCCCCCCCGGCACTGAGCTGTCCACCTCCGGTCCACTCCCATCCACCTCCTGTCCATCTCTGGTCCCTGCTTCTTTGCAGCCTTCTGTGTGGTGGCTGCAGCAACAGCCTTGCTGTCTGTGATTGGGGCGAGGAGCCGGGAAGTGTGGCCGTGGAGCCTCACAGACACGGAGCTTAAACCTGACAAGGCTTTTGGCAAAATGCTGAGCCTCCGTGGGCCCCCAGTTCCTGGAAGTGCGAACCGGGCTGCACCCAGGCCCACCCAGGGCCGGGCTGATGCTCTGTGCTCCCCTCTGCTGCCTCTGATCTGGAAAGGGAGGGGCCGGGCCCTGGCCTGATGTTGAGGCCATCTACTTTGACGTGGCAGAAATCATCGCACCCCAGGACTGACCGAGGAACAGACCCTCCAACGGCTTCCCGGGACATCTTCCCAAGGCCATTTCCACCAGCTGTTATAGGTTGGTCCAAGGACCCATTAAAGCAACTCACCCAACACACATGTAAGTGGAAAGTAAGATCTTATGACGCCTGTCACGAGCATTCCCAAGGAAGGAGCGCTTCCTCAGACCCTCCTTTCAGAGAGGGCCACTGGGGAGGGGGAGGGCTGTCCTCAGACCCTGTCCCTCCTCTCCAGACCTTTCACTGTCTCCTGCTGCAGGCCCTGCAGGCTCTGGGCAGCTCTGCCTCCTGGAACACTGGCTGCTCCCCCTCCCTTGGCACCCCTGAGCTTCTCGCCTTGCTCTTCCCCCGAGACTGCGCACAGCCTCCCCAGTGAGGCCCGTGGGCGTCCCTCTCTGTCCTCAGACTCAGGTCCTCTGGACTCACCTGGACCCCCTGGGTCCTGTTTGCTCCTGCCCCTGTCCAGGTCTTGTGTCCAGGCCCCAGCCCCACAGTGGGCTCCTGTGCAGGGGGTGGCCAGCTGCGTTGGTACTTGGTTGTTTGGAAGAATGGCAGGCGCTCATGGGAGGTGGTGACACAGGCACCACGTGTCACAGGGCTTTGTGGGTGGAGAATTGCTCACGGTGAACTGTTCTCGTGTTTGAAGGTGCCATCGCACCTCATCTTCATAATAGTAAAGAGATGTGACTTGGACCCCAGGGACCCACAGCACCCCTGTTGGCAGCTAGAGAGTCCCTGGGCATCTGGGATGTGGTCCACCTCAGCAGGATGGTGGATAGGCTGTGCTCGAGGCATCAGTCCCCTGAATGAGAACTGCTGAAGCCGACCTGAGTCTGACTGTGACCAGACGTCTCTACCCACCCCTGGGAATGTGGCAGAGAGTCTGAGTGGCCAGGCCTCCCGAGGCTGGGCTCCTGGATGGCTGTTCCGTCTTCTCTGAAATGGTGTTTGCGGAACTTGGCACCATGTGTCACAGGGCTTTGTGGGTGGAGGTCCCGAGGGGCAGGGCCGTCCCGCACGTGCATCAACTCCAGCACCCTGGGTCCCAGCACTGGGTGTGATGGCACCCGCTGCCCTGTGACAAGAGCAACACGCTCTCCCAGGTGAGGGTGCCCAGCAGGGAGGGCTTGGGCCAGGTGCACACAGGAGGAGGAGGCAGCGCTCCCTCCTCCCTGGGCCAGCTGGGCAAGCCGGGATCCAGGAAGCCCTTCCGAACATGGATGGGACAAGAGGCTCAGAGACGGGCAGGAGTCCTCTCAAGGTCCTGCAGGTACAGAGCAGGGTCCCGGCCTCCAGCAGCTCCTGTAGGTTCTACCTGCCCTGCCAGGGCTTTCCAGAACCCTCCCGCCTCTGTGTACAGCCTCAGGAACATGCCCCTTCAGCAAGTCCAGGGAGGAACAAAATCATAAGAAGTCTCACCAAACATCTTCCCTGCTTCAGCTGAGGGGCAGGAGCAGGTGGGGCCTGAAAGACCCAGGACCTTGAGCTCCCGACCTGAGTCCAGAGGTCCCTCCCCAGCACCCAGGCTGTCCGTGTCTCTCTCCAAGGTGCTGAAAGCCCCCTGGCCCAGCCACCTCCTGGCAGAGCTGTCTTGACCACAGGCTGTGGTGGACTCCTGCCTCACCAACGCCCCCAGACACGCACAGACCCCTCACCAACACTCCACCGCCCTCCTCTTGTCCTTTTTAAATCGTAGCACAATCTGAACGACACTAAAGTTACCATTTCAACCTTTTCTGAGTGTGGAGCTCAGAGGTGGCAGCACCTTCCCGCCGTCCAGCAGCGTTCACCACTGTCCACCCATGGCTCTCGCACCTTCCCAGCCTGACACTCCGTCCCCCAGACGTTGTCCCTCCCAGCCATCCAGTCCTCTGTGTCTGGCTGAAACAAGCCGAGCTTGACGTCCTCAAGTTCCCCGGGCCGTAGCAGGTGCAGAGTTTCCCCTTTCCTAAGGTCCACTGGTGTCCCCTGTAGGGGTGGCCACTGCAGGTGTATCTGCTGGTGGACGTGCAGGTAGCTTCTTCCTCCTCTTGGCAATGAAGTCGTGCTGCTGGGAACCTGGGTTGGCAGGCACCTCTTCACGTCACTGCTGTCACTGCTTCTGGGTGTGTCCCAGAGGTGGGACTGCTGGGCCACGTGTGGGTCACGTGGTGGTTCTGCCTGGAGTGTCTCCACTCCGGCTGCACCTGCTCACACAACACCTGCCCCGGGAGGCGTCGCCCCGTCTCACCTGCCCCTGTGGTTTTCTGGGTGTTGACTGCATGTGACAGGCGCGTCCCCACCTCTCTGCGCTGTTTGTCTTTCTCCACTTGGTGCTTTTGCAGTGGGGAGTTATTTAGGGCAGAGGACAGTGGCTCAGAATGGGATTCTGGAACCAGACCTGGACCCAAATCCTGGCCTCATGGCTCACTGGCCACATGACCCCAGACTGTGGTCAGGGAATGTCCATCAGGAGCCAAGCAAAGCAGAGTCGACGTTGCCAGCTCTTTTCTTGTCATCACTGTGGAAGGCAGGACCTCCACCTCAGGACCGAGGCAGGGACTGGCTGGCACGGGGACTGACCCTCCTGGGTGTGTGTGAGAGAGCAGGTGGTGGCTAAGGCCCAGCAGTGCTCTCTCCCCTCGGCCAGCAAGGCCACAGCAGGGCCGTGTCTGTGGCAGGGAGCTGGGGCTTCCTTCCTGAGCGCTAAGGGCCCGGAGGGCGCAGCTCACCCGATGAGTGCTGGCGTTGGCGCCCTGATGCAGGAAGCGCCCGGCACCACTGCTGGGAACAGACATCTAAGTGACTTCCTTGCTGAATATTTCATGATTTACATTAATGGCTTTCTGGTGTTTTTCATAACAAAACTGTCCACCTTATGGTGGGTTAAAATGTGGTTATTCCGGTCACTCTTGCCATGATACTCCTCTCCCGGGTGCCTGTCCCCCTGTCCCTCTGCTGGGATCTTCCCGAGGCTCCCTCCCCAGGGATGGCGTCGTGTCTGTGCTGTGGGGGTCTGTTCACGGAGGCAGCGGGGGTGGGGGGCTAGGGCCAAGGAGCTGCCTCATCAGCCAGCACATGAGGTGGCCTGGGGCCCAGGGCTGGAGGGACCCTTCTGGGACCTAGCCCAGGCACCCAGGCTGTGACTGACCTGCGCAGGTCACACCTCACCTGAGAACCGCCTGACACCCCCCAGGAGTGTGGGTTTTAATTAGCGGAAGTTCATGCCTCGCTCCCATCTCCCTACTTTAGCCTGATGTCCCTTTTCCATCCCAGGGCCCCACACTGTGTGGCACCGTGTCCCTTGGGCTCCTTGGGGCTGTGAAGCTCCCGAGACTCTACAAGCCTGTGGCCTTGTGCTGGGCAGGCAGGTCAGGTGTTTGCAGAGGTCCCCCCTGGGCGGTGTGTGCTAGCTCCTCACAGCTAGCCTGGGCGGTGGCCACAGTGGGCAGCCCCAGGTCGGGTCCTGTCAGGTGCAGCCCGTCGGGACCCTGCCCATGCCGGGGCGTGGGGGCTCTGAGCTACTCCCAGCCCATCCTCCCTGGAGGGGGGCCACCACACGGCCCCCACGTGAGGAGAGGGGCGTGCTCAGTCACGTGGAAGTCCCTCCTGCGAGCGCACCTGGCCGACTGTCTCCCACTTCTCAATCACTCCTTTGTGGCCGTGTGGACCAGGAGGCTGCTGCCCCCTGGGCTGTGACCCACACAGCTCTGCTGTGGCTCAGCTGGCCCCAGCCCTGGCTGCTGCCAGCCCTTCGGGTGGCTCCATGGGCCTTCGACATATCTATCCCTCTCTGTTTCCTCCAGGAATTTTCCAGATACATATTTAAATTTAAAACTGTGGCAAAGATGACGTGAACTAAACTTCCCATTTTGCGTTTTCAATGCGTGCAGGGGCGTGCACCATCCCCACTGCTGTGCAGCTTCTGGGCCTTCTGTGCCCAGAGTGTGCACCTCCCACCCTAACTCTGTCCCCACGCCTGGCGTCCCTTTCTGCTGTATCTCTGACCCGAGGACTCTGGGCCTCTGTTGCAGGGCACCGCCTCCTGTGCCAGGCCCCTTGGCTCCACAGGGCGTCCTCAAGACCCCTCCTGTGACAGCCTGAGGTTGCATAAATCAGGACATGATCCCCCAGGGTGTCATGGGGACGCCCAACCCTGAGTACCCAGCACAGAGCCTGGGCACGTGGCCCTGCCCAGGAGTCTCTGGAGGTGTTTCCTGGCCACTCCTCCCATCACAGGGCCAGCAGGCAGGCCCCTTCCTCCGTGGGGCTGCCAGGCTGGCCTTCCCATCCTCCTCTCTCTGCATAGTCCTCCCCACCCACCCTGGCCCATCCCTCCCTGGCCTGTCCTTCATGGGTCCCTGGTGGACACGCCCTTCTCCAGGGCACCAGCCCTCACCCCCAGCACCACCTGGGGAGGTGCACCTGGTTGGTTTTCAGGGCAGGGTCAACACCAGGCAGTGCCCAGCCTGAGGGCACGAGGCCAGCAAGGTGGGCATGGAGCCCCTGCTCTTTGGACGAGGACACTGGGCATTGGACATGGCCAGGGCTTGTCCAGGGTCCACAGACCCAGAATGGTAGAGCCAGAGCATCTTGACAGTGCCTGACCACGGGGTCAGTATCCTGCCCTCTGCAGGGAGGATTCAGGAAGCAGAGGGGAGAGATCCTGAAAGGGGGAGGAGGAGCCAGGCCACTGGGGCAGGCCAGGTGGTTGGCACTGGAGCTGCCCAGCCCTGGGCAAAGGGGAGCTGCTCTTCCCTGGCGTCTTCAACTGCCTCGGCCCACGCCCAAGCCCTTCCCCCTTAGGCACCGGATCAGCAGCCTTGCAATGCCTCCAGAGCCTCGGACCCCCTTGGAGTCCAGGCCATGCCTGGGGCCCCCTCAGCCCCGGGCCCAGCCATGTGCCTGGGTTCTGGGCAGCCTCCCATCCATGGTGGACTCCCTCTGGGGCTTGTGCACCTTGCCCAGGAGCAGACGCTCCGGGCCCCGGGCTGGGGTCAGCCCACAGTGCTCTCATCTCAGAGTGAATCAGCTCCCACCAGCTCCCTAGGGCCTAGGGAAGGAGCAAGTCGGCGGGCTGGAGGGGAGGACCCTGGGGGACACAGCTACTGAAGAAGCAGACCACCCTACAGCCTGGGCAGGGGCTGGGGAGTGGCAGTTCTGACGTGCGTCCACAGCATGGGCTGGAGAGACCTTTCCCATAGAAGCTGTGCCCATTGAGGTGCCCCACCACGTGTCCCCAGGAGAAGGAGGAAGGCAGGCCACTAAGGGACAAGGAACTAGCCAGAACTGACACCCTGTCACCATCCCCCCCTACTTTGGCCAGGACCAGGGCCCCCCGCTGCAGGCTGACTCTCGATGTGGCCCCCCCAAATACACCAGGGCATTGCTTGGGCTGCTGCCTCTCCAGGGACTCCGAGGGACCCCTCCCTGCCCAGCCCAGTGACAGGGCTCACGTTTCCCAGCTGACACCAAGAGTGACACCCGAGTAGTAATTCCTAATTAAATAGAACAGGGGATTGTGGAGCGATCACCCACACGGATTGGATCTTGAAGAACAAATACCCTGTTAGCACCCTTCTGCCGAGTACACATGGCCGTGAAGCCGGACAGAAGGGAACCTGGAGATGAATCTGGAAGCCGCCTTTCCTGGAGTCGCACAATCATAAATGAAGCCGTTTCGTGGAGCGCTAACAGAGGGAAAATGACTGGCCCGGTCTGATTTATCTGCTCAGATGCTTTGTAGTACTTTAGATTAATAAAAATATTTAATAAAGAATCAAGATGGTTTATCTGTAATGCAAAGAGAATCACATTGCCTATATTTTTATTACTGAAAAATTGGAAGCAGGAAGAAATAATGATATAAGCTACTGTATAAATGACAAAAATACCCATTCTGGTTATGTGCTTCGCTCCGCCATCTCTCTCTGCCCTATAAACATAATCTATCCGCCTGCCTCTCGGCTGACTCCAGAGCTGCTCTGCGCTGTGGAGTTAATATCCCCCTGCTCTCTGCAGCGCGGGGAGGTGATTAAATAAGAAATAAATTCGGCTGTCATTGCATTTAAAATCAAATCAAGGATCATTTGTTACCCCCAAATGAAGCCGCTCTCCTTCCCTGCCCGTACGCAGGCTGCCGTTTGCTGAACCATTTAGAAATGTACATACAGTAAACTCCGCGCATAATGGCTTGCGCTACGACGTGATCTTTATGGGGCTGCTGTGCGAGCTGCCGGGAGAGACCATAAGCAGCACATGGCTTTTTTAATTTAAAGTTATAGGTATGAGAGCGTGCAGGCTTGTCTCAGATCCATCTGAGTCTCGTTGGCAGAGGCCCCTGGCAGACCACCCCCACCTACAGCCCTGGGCAGGGGCTGGGGAGTGGGGCGGCTGTCCCAGGACCCCTACCCCCTGCATGGCTGCAGCCTGCCCACCTGCCTGAGAGAGGATGTGGTGGGGACAGAGCCAAGTCAGGTATTCTCTGTGCTGAATCCCCCAGTCGTAGCCAGACCCACAGGGCGGGGGGCTGGACACCACCTGGGGAGAGGGTGGAAGACAGGCTCCCTGCTATGGCAGGAGGGGCCCCAGCTCCCTGCGGGGGAAATGCCTGACGACAGGGCAGGCAGAGTGGGCTCCAGGCTCCAGGGCTCACCCCACCCCACCCAAACCTGGTGGTGACTGAGAGGCAAGGGGTCTGCAGGGGACAGCAGATGCCATCACTTGTTTGGCCTCCAGGCCTCTGAAAGTGAGGGAACAGCCCAGTGTGTGGTGCTTGGGGGCAGCAGCACCAGGCAAAATGCAGGGTCACGGGAAGGGCCCTTTACGGGACCATGAGCCCCTCCTTGCTGGACACCTCACCTCTGGGCATGGAGTCCATTGAAAGTGCGGTTGTCGAGTGAGTGACTGAGTGAGTACATGGATGGGTGAGAGAGTGAGTGAGTGAGTGAGTGGATAAGCATGTGTGAGTGTGTGAGTGAGTGAGTGTGTGGGTGAGAGAGTGAGTGAGTGGGTGAGAGAGTGAGTGAGTGGGTGAGTGTGTGTGAGTGTGTGAGTGAGTGAGTGTGTGAGTGAGTGAGTGTGTGTGTGAGTGAGTGTGTGGGTGAGAGAGTGAGTGAGTGGATAAGTGTGTGTGAGTGTGTGAGTGAGTGAGTGTGTGGGTGAGAGAGTGAGTGAGTGAGTGGATAAGCATGTGTGAGTGTGTGAGTGAGTGTGTGGGTGAGAGAGTGAGTGAGTGGGTGAGTGTGTGTGAGTGTGTGAGTGAGTGAGTGTGTGGGTGAGAGAGTGAGTGAGTGGGTGAGAGAGTGAGTGAGTGGGTGAGAGAGTGAGTGTGTGTGTGAGTGAGTGTGTGTGTGAGAGAGTGAGTGAGTGGGTGAGTGTGTGTGAGTGCATATGTGGGTGAGTGTGTGTGAGTGAGTGTGTGGGTGAGTGTGTGAGTGTGTGTGAGTGARTGAGTGTGTGGGTGAGTGTGTGTGAGTGTGTGAGTGAGTGGGTCAGTGTGTGTGAGTGTGTGAGTGAATGTGTGGGTGAGTGAGTGAGTATGTGGGTGAGTGAGTGAGTGAGTGTGGGTGAGTGTGTGAGTGTGTGAGTGAGTGTGTGGTTGAGTGTGTGGTTGAGTGAGTGTGTGAGTGTGTGTGGGGTGTGAATGAGTGAGTGTGTGAGTGTGGGTGAGTGAATGTGTGGGTGAGTGAGTGTGTGAGTGTGTGGGTGAGTGTGTGAGTGAATGGGTGAGTGGGTGAGTGGACAAGTGAGTGTGTGAATGGATAGGTTAGAGAGTGAGTGGATGAGTGAGTGGGTGAGTATGTGAGTGGGTAAGTGTGTGTGTGTGTGTGTGTGAGTGTGTGAGTGGACAAGTGAGTGAGTGAATAGGTTAGTGAGTGGATGAGTGGTGGATGAGGAGTGAGTGAATGAGGGGTGAGTGTGTGAGTGGTAAGTGTGTGAGTGACTGGATGCGTGAGTGGGTGAGTGTGTGAGTGGTAAGTGTGTGTGTGTGAGTGACTGAGTGGATGTGTGAGTGTGGGAGGGCTCCTTCTTCCTATCTTCTACTCCAGGGTCCCCAGGAGCCCGGCCCCGCCCAGCCCACGGGTGGCTGAGCAGGGAGTGAGTTCTGCCCTCAGGTCTGGGGAGCTGCTCCAGGTGGGGTCCTGTGCTGTGGCCTTGCTGCTGTCTCTAGAGTTGCAGGAGGTCCCTATACTGTCATTAGGCCTTCCCAGACCCAGGTGAATCCCAGCCCTGATCCCTGGACGGGACCAGCCCTCACCTGTGGGTGTACCATAAGTGGCACCTCCTGCTCCCTCTGTCCAAAGGGCCTGGGCAGGCCTTGGGATGGCCAGGTAGGGAGCTTACTGGGGGTGGCATTCAGCCCCTCTCCCAGCTGCTGGTCACTGGCCCGTGGTGTCCAGCCTGCCCAGTCCCTCTGGTCCACACTCCACCAGACCTCAAGTCTTCAACCTGCAGGGTCTCAGGTCTCCCAAGCTTTGCTACCACTGTCCCCTCCCAGGCTGCTGGACACAGGTGGGGTTGTCCAAGCTTCCTGATCCCTGGGGGCCTTGGTACATCCTCACTGGGACCTGGGCAAGAGGGCACTCACAGGGCGGTAACCACCTCCCAAGCCGCCCTGCAGGACAGGCCTTCCCTTCTGCCTGCCCCTTGCCTTGGCGCCTGCCTAGTCTGCACTCATTACTCCAGAGCTGATCTGAGCCTCACATCCCTCACCAAGGCTCCCACTCACCTCGGGCGCTGGACACAGGGCATCTCTACCTCCCAGTCCATAGAGTGGTCTGGAAGGCTGCAAGGCCTGGCTGGAGCAGCGCATGCCCGTCCCTGACAGCCCATGAGCCCTGGTGGTCCCCATCCCTGCGTTGCCTGGATGCAGCCCAAGGGCTCCTCCTGCCCTCCAGCCCAGCTGTCTCCCTCTCGGGCACAGTGCTTCTCTTTTAGAGACGTGGTTCTCACCTCGCTGCCCAGGCTGGCCTTGAACTTGTGACCCTGGCCCATCTTGGGCTCCCTACTAACAGGAAGTTACCATGTAAGGCTCCAGAGCACTTCAAGCTGGCCACAACAGTCCCTGTGCCCCTTCTCCCTGACCTGCAGATCCTGCAGGAAGGTTCTCGAGGGTACAGCTGGGTGTAGAGGGAATGTCGGGGGCAAGGCTGCCCCATGTGGCCCCCTCCTGCCCCAGGGCCCCCAGCTGTGGCTGCAGCAGCTCAGAGAGCGGGGGTCCCAGCCAGCGGCAGGAGCCAGGAAGGCTGGGACGGGGTCTAGAAACTCCCGCCCAACCCACAGCTCCCAGCTGGCTGGCTTCAGGGTCAGAGAGCGGGCAGGAATGCAGACCTGCCCAGGTGAGCCATGTTCCCCTGTGAGGTGGGGGTGTCTGCAGCCCCCACTCTGAGGGCTTCTGGAAGGAAGCACACAGGGCCAGCTCATGGGGGTCACACAGTGGGTGGCCAGGGAAGAGCAGACCTTGACCAGCGGTAGAGCCATCAGACAGGGCCAGTCATCCACCTCTGGCAGCCAGCACCTGCCCCAGAGTAGCCAGGGGCTCTCTAGAGGGCCCTACCATCAGCTCGGACTTGACAAAGGCCAGAGCCTTGTCCCTGACCTCTGACCCCGCCTCCAGGCCGAGCCCAGACCTCTGACCTCAGCTCACACAGAGCCTCACATTCCACTGGTCCCTCAAGCTGCCCCCAGGCCATGGGAGGGCTTGTCAGCCCATCCCCGCCAAGGGCCTGGCCCAGGGCCCACCTCCGCTCTCTCCCTTGAGGTGGTCACCAACCTCCACCACCAGTCCCTGGTGACCTTGGGCACCTGTTGGCCCCCTGGCTGGGGGTGCTGGGGTGCAGGCCCTCCCGGCCATCGGGGCCACACCCACGCAGCCTGGGAGCCCTTCCAGAGAGTGTCCACAGCTGCCGTTGCCAAGTACATTAAGGTTAATGTCGCCATCTTGCTAATGGCCCACTGTGTTATAATGTGTACTATAAACTTAAAAATTAATTGTCTCACCTTCCAAAGCATCTTTAACTGCTTCTGGAAGGAATATGGCTAATAACCATAATTTTAACGTCAATTCTTGTTAGGAGGTTGTGTTTGACCAAATTTCTTTTGTTAGTTCATGATTTCACATTTTCTTCTCCTCTGAAAAAAATCTCTTTATGTATGTTTTAGTCATAATTTTAAAAATGCCCACAGGAATGTAAATCAGTCCTTCGCTCACCCTGTGTTACTATGTCTGCACATACCAAACGTGGTCGCAGGGGTGACCTTGGACCACCCTGTGTCATGGGGGTTTTCTGGGCCCAGCTGAGTTCCAAGGTGGCCCCACAACCTCAGGACCCTGTGAGTGGCAGGTGGGCAGCACTGTCCCTGGTCCCAGGTGTAGAAGCTGGGTGCCCTCTTCCCAACGTTGGTACTGTCGAACAGACGTGCTCCTACTGTTTGGGTCTCCCTTGGAGCCTTTGGGGATAGCGAGGTATGACCACGGGTGAACTCTGCAGCCATCAGTCCTCTCCCTTGGCCCTGGACTGAAGAGGCAGCTGCCTGCCCACTTGCTCACCTGTCCTCTGGTCTGCAGGCCAGGTAGAGCACAGGGCCTTGGCCGCAGACAGGTGGTGTCCCTTGTCCTCTAAGATCTGGAGCCTCAGGGGCTGCTCCCTGTGGACCTGGCTCAGACTGGGCATCCTAAGAGGCCATGCCATGGGATGCTTGCCGGGAGTGGGCAGGGCCACAGGATTGGAGAGGCAGCT